TATATATATATATATATATATATATATATATATATATATATATAAAATTCATGATTTCTGAAACATCTCTGCCTTTTACTGCATATACAGCTGAAACCAGATGTTTACATACACTATAAAAAGACACAAACGTTTTCTTCTCCCCGTCCGACATTAAATCAGACTAGACGTTTCCCATTTTAGGTCAATTATGATCCCTCAAATTATTTCTAATTGCTAAATGCCAGAATAATGAGATTATTTTTTATTACTTTCTTCAAAGTCATATGTTTACATACACTGATATTGCCTTTCAAGTTCTTGTGGAAGCCCAGATAATAACGTCATCACTTTAAAGCATTTGATTGGTTAATTGACAAGTTTTTTATTGGAAGCACACCAGTGGATGCATTTAGCTCCTATTTTGCTGAATTTATCTTTTAGCTAGTATTTTGCTAATTAATTTACCAGTACAATTTTTAGCTACTGTTTTACTATTTTCAGCTTTTTGATCAAACTAGCTTTTGCTAAAATAATTTTTCTACTACTGTTTGTTATGAAATTTTTTGCTATTAGTTAATGTACATTTAGCCTATTTTAGCTTTTACCTTCTGTAGGTTTTGGTCATTTTAGCTTTTGGCTATGTTGCTATGTATTACAAATTTAAGGTTTTAGCTACAATTTTGTCAATTCTAGCTTTTAGCTACCGTTTTGCTCATTTTAGTTGTCAGAATAATTTTAGGTACCGGTAATTACTGGTCAAAGAACAGTTTGGCTAATTTTAGCTATTTTACTCTATTTGTCCTGGTTTTCATTGTGTGTCCTGCTTGTGTGTACTTTTTTAGTCAATTCATTCTGCAGCCTTCACTGCATTTCCACAGAATTTTATCCTGGCCTTTTGCTTTTTGATTGCAAAATTATTATTTTCTGCCCGTCAGCTGTTGTCATCTGTTTCTAACGTTATTTTTAAGCAGATAAAATCTACACAGAAGTGAAAAATCTGTGGATTGTCTTCCTGCTCACTTCAGGTGCATCCTTGTACAGAAGCATTAAAAACTACTAACAACATAGTTCCTGAGAGCTTGTAAAGTGCACTGAATAAACGTTGCACATGTTGTGTTTAAGGTAAACTCGCCCTTCTTCCAGTTACTGGATTCCTCTCACTGCTGGCTCCACCACCTGAGTAAATACACTTTTCAGGTGCAACTGTCAGCATCCCTTTAACCGTGTTTGTGTCAAAGCCTGGGAACAGGCTGCTATTCTTTTGTCCAGGCTTTAGACTGAAACAACACCTGCAGTTTGCAGCTTTGTTCAGTCCTAACCACAAACCATGCTTATATATTATAACGGATTGAATTTAGCTCATTTCAGTCATTTTTAAGCAAACCCATGAGTAAAAACAAAGGTCAGATGGCCTCGCTGCCTTTTACGGACTCACATTTCTAGTAATCCATCATCCTGTGAAGTTACATCGTTGACCAGCTGATTCCAGTGTTTTTAACTATGATTGAGCATTTTGGCTCGCATGTTCGTCTCTGCGTTTCCTCCTCTCTGCTGCGGCTTGTTCCAGTTTGTTGAAAAAGAAAAAAAAAGCTGAATAGTAGCATGAGTCCAGACTGTGGTTTGCTTTGGTTTTAGTGTTGTTATGCTGGGCTTTCCAAGCATGAAAAACTGCACGCCAGTGCCTCATACCCGCAAACCTTTGCATTTTGGGGTCATTCCTTGTAGCTTTGGCCTGGAGTACATTTTCACTCTGAACAAAACACATTGCGGTCTTCTTGGAAGAGAAGCCTGACTCACATTTTCTGGCACATATGACCAGTCATCTGGCAAGCCCCTGTGCCGTTGTGGCTTTGTTCTCACCTGCCCTGAACTGAAAAGGCAAAAAGTCTCTAAAATTTTAAGAAAAAATGCTTTATCTCACCAGCTCCTGCTCCAGCTGACCTGTTCCCAGATACAAGGAGGCCATCACCACACGCCTCTGTGCAGTTTTGATGCGTGCCTTAACAGGAGAAATTAAAAACAGTGATTGAGAATGTAGTTTGTGGGTGTAATGCAAAAGAAAAATGTGTAATTTTCAGAAGAATTTCAGTCACATTCACACTGTTGTCCTGACAAGCCGCAAAATGAAGGTAGAATCCTGCTATGAAACTGATTTTTTTTTTTTTTAAAGGTATAAATAAATTAGTAATACCGGTTAAAATTAATCAATTGAACCAGCAGTCACAACCCTGGGCCTGCAAATGAGCCCAGTCTCGTGCAAAAAACACGACAAAGGTTGATTTCTGCTGTAACTGAAACTTGCGTAACAAATGAGTCCATAAAGACGCCGCCATAGTGATCCCAAAAATAGCACATAATCTTCATGATCTGCCTTTAAATCAAAGTTTTCTAACCGATATGTCTTCAGTAATAATCATTTAATTTCTTGGGAAATTTACCCCTTTTCTCTGTTTGCTGTCGTTGCACTGGGAAATCCCTTCGTATAATGTTTGGCATCATTGTGAAGCCTTTTTAATTAAAGAGGTGGATTTCCCAGTGACATCACTTCAGCTTCTGGTTGTGTGTTCGTCTGTTAGAAAAAGATCTCCTGAAGCACAGGACAGACTTTAATCAAACTTTCAGGAAATAATCACAGGATGTACGTCCAAAACTAATTCACTTTTGAAATCAGCCCAATTCAAGATGGCCACCATAGACAATTGATCCTTGAAAACACAAAAATGACTATAGATCAGACAATTTCACAGTTAGAGCTCAAATTTAGGGTGGTTGCAGCTGAGATGCAAAATATATCCTGAGGGTTATGTCTATCATGACGGTGATAACACAAGTAAAATTATTTTCAAGACAACTACAACATTTTTTTCTAAAACTCTTGCATGAAAGGTAGAAAACATTATATTGATCTATAGCTATATATTTATACCATATCTATCTATCTATCTATCTATATAGATATACCGTATTTTCCGCCATACACATCGCACCACCCGATAAGTCACATCAGTCCAAATACGTCTAATAAAGGGGAAATAAAACATAAATATGTCACTTTGCCGTATATGTCGCATCTATTTTGCATCATCACTGAAACCTGGAAATGTGGGCCAGTGTTGTGCCAAAAATCGATTGGCTGCCAAATGGTGGCCGCGTGAGCGTGCACGGGAAGACATAAACAAGAATTTAACAAGATTAACACTTAAAAACAATTATTTGTTTGCTCGACATTAAGGCAAACGTGTCTCAGTCTGACTTTTCCTTAATAAATGCACTTTGACGGTCAAATCATCTGCATTTCGAAACCCAATTTGCGGAAACGCACAGAGGAACGAGTCGCTGTGCATTTCTTTGAAATTTCACAAAAGAACCACCGAAAAACAATTACTCGCTTGCTCGACTTTACAGTAAAAGGTGCGTCTCAGTTAAACTTTTACTGAATAAAAGGATTTTAACGGTCAAATCAGCTGTCTTTCAAAAGTATTCACTGCCTCGGTGCTCCGGGAGTGCTCAGACAGGGAGGAAATCAGGAACGAGGAAGCGCGTTTCGTCAAAATTTAACAAGATAAGCACCTAAAACAATTATTTGTTTGCGCAACGTTATAGTAAAGGTGTGTCTCAGTTGAACTTTTACTTAATAAATGCACTTCAATGGTCAACGCAGCGAAATGAAGCTGATTTGACGGTTGCTTCAAGCGAGCTGGACATAGGTGGCAGACTATGGCAAGCCGATTGAGTCATTAATAGCCATTTTAACCTATTACATGACACAATGGCATGCCATACTACTCGAGTGCCATTTAGCGGCTGACAATGGTAGTGTTAAATATTTTCAGTCTGAATGAATGAAATTAGTCATATCTCTGCCAAAAATTGGTTTATAAATATGAGGGGAAAAAACAAATATGTTGCTTCGGTGTATAAGTCGCATGGCATGCAAATTATGCAAAAAAAATGTGACTTATAGGCTGAAAAATACTATATATGGATATAGATATAGATATTTATTTATTTATACACACCTTAAAGAATTGCCAGGCTTTACATGTTATTTTTAACTTTCTTTTGTTTTTAACCATTGAACAAACTGGTAAAAAAGTACAAATTGGATTACAAAAAGATAAAGAAAGAAAAAGACTACTTTAAATGTTATTGCAGCTTTTAAATGGCACTATAGTTAAATACACCGCACTCCCTTTTCTGACTGGAAATAAAATTAAAAATCATGAACTCATCCAGGATGTCTAACCCGTGATGCTTTCTTCTTGGATTAACATGTTTCTGCTCTGACTGCATGCACTTTGTGTGAGGGTTCATTTGGTGTAATTTTAATCTGTGGGTGTTACTGTTGGAGAAAATAAAGTCTGGTGTTTTTCCACACTTTGTACGAGGCAGCGAGAGTTCAGGTCACTTCAACCCCCAGACAGAACTCTGGCTTCAGACGGTTCTGTGACCATGGCTGGCGCCGTTCTTCGTACAATCTTGTTTTTTTCCTCAAAGTGTGAAAGTGTTATCCCACCACTCATTTCTTGTATGGGCGTCCATTTTGTTATGATCAGCAAACATCTCTAGATAATCCTTACAATTGTCACAGGCCTTTGTTTTCAGTGATGAAGGTCTAAAACCCTCAAAGCAAACTGCACGGAGCAGATTCAGGCAGATTTATGAATGCGTCATTGTACTGCAGATTTCTCAGAGGAGTTAATAAAAACATTTAAAGGAAAACATTTCATAAACATTCACATTCATTTAAGAAAAGCACACTGACCCTTGAATTGCCATGAAGTTTGTTTGACACGTCAGTGTGACTGCTGCTTATTGCTTAAGAACTTGCTGAAAAACAGCTGTAATTAGCTAAAAACGTGCTGAAATGTAGCTAAAATGGATGGACAAGGCTAAGTTAGCAGAAGAAAGCAGAAAGAACACACATAAGCTGAATTAGATTTAAATAAGCAGAAATGGGCACAGAAATTAGGAAATTAGCTGAAAAAAAGCTTAAATAAGAAAAAAATTGCTGAAAGAGCAGAAAGAAGCTTAAATTAGCAGAAAAAAGCAGAGAGTACACGTTTACTGAAAGAAGCACGTGAGCACAAAAAAGTGGAAATTACTTGAAAAAAGATGAAATTAACAAAACAAAACAAAAACCAGCTAAAGAGTAGCTAAAAAGGCAGAAGGTAACTTAAATTACCAGTAGGAAGTGGAGAGCACATTTTTGCTGAATTAGACTGACAGTAAAATTAAGGAACCAGAAGGAAGTGGAAGGAGTAGAAATTAGCTAAAAAAATGTGGAATTAGCTGAAAACACTAATTTTAGCACAAAAACAGCTAAATATTAGCTGAAATAGCAGAAAAAAGCTGAAAAGAGCAAAACAAGCTGAAATTAGTAGAAAGACAAGTAGCAGAAATTGCCACAAAAAAATTGAATTTATCTGAAAACAGACGAAATTAGTAACAAAAACGCTTAAAAAAAGGTAGCTGAAATGGTAGAACAAGCTTAAATTAGCAGAAGAACGCAGAGAGCACACATTTATTGAAAGAAGCAGCACATGTGAGCACATAAAAGTGGAAATTATTTGAAAAAAAGCTGAAATTAGAAGAAAAAAAAACAGCTAAAGAGTAGCTAAAAAGGCAGAAGGTAGCTTAAATTACCAGTAGGAAGTCGAGAGCAGATTTGTGCTGAATTAGACAGACAGTAAAATTAGTACAACAAAAGTGGAATTAGCTGAAAAAGCTTAAATTAGCATAAAATAGCTAAACGTTAGCTGAAATAGTAGAAAAAGCTGAAACTTGCAGAAATAAGCTGAAAGGAGCATAACAAGCTGAAATTAGTAGAAAGAAGTTAGAAGAAGCACAAAAATGTTGTAGCTAGCAGAAAGAATCTGAAAGGAGCACAAAACAACTGAAAAAAACAGCTGAAATTAGCTGAAAGTGGCTGGAAAAAAAAAAGTTTAAATTTGCACAAAGAAGCTGAAAGAAGCTGAACCAGAACAAAATGTGGAAGGAGCAGTAAAAGGTTGCAAACAGATGTAAAGATTTGAAGGATGTAAAATGAGCTCAATTAATTTTCTATGAGGAAAAAAATGGCAGAAAAGGCTAAATATTTCAAAAAGCTAAAGTTGCACCAATACCAAAAGTCACAGGAGGATTGTCCTGAATGAGCTGAACATTTTGATTTATGATTTGTTATAGCTTGAAAACTGTGGGACAAGAATCGTGCTGAAAAACATAGTGTAAATGCTTCATAAACATTCACACAATAAACTTCTTTAATGTACTAATTGGCCGTTGAAAGAAACATTTCATAAAGAAAACCATGTGTTCCAAACAGTGAAGATAAACATTTTACAAGCTTGACCCTTTAACGCACTTATTCCATAAACAAACTGATACTTTTCAGAAGATTTTTATTTCCTTTACACGTCGAACACGCTTTTTCCACCATTCATCACCCACTTGACGTCTCGCTTGCGTTAAATAATGTTGCGGTTTAGTTTGTTTAAAACCTGTTATGACCACAAGAATTTTTCCCGCTTGTTGCAACAAACACTGAACAGTCTTGTCACACTGATGAAAAGGAAAAAACGGTGCCCGTGGCCAAAATGAGCTATAAATATCACATCGTTATGGCATTCACACAAAACCTGCCAATCTCTAAAGGTCAGGTGGGCGTGGCAAAACTGTAAATGACACCTGAGCACAGTGTGTGGATGGGCGTGAACTTAGTAATGCAGTTTTTACCAGAACTAAATTCTTTTGCTGCCTCAATTCATTCACAAATCAATTATTATTCATTGGAAAGTGTTGCACTTCAGTTTGTGTATTGAGGGAATTATCCTGTAGATAAATAAAGGTGATGCATAGGATTGTTTTACATGTATATAAATGTCATCATGGAAAAGTGAAGTGTAAAAATTTAAAAGGATGCGCTTGATAAACATGAAAACACAAATCGGTTCTCCTAAATGTGTTTTAGAGGCCCACATCTTTATATCCCTAAAATCTTTAACCGACTCTTAAATCATCAGGATACAACCTGTAACTCTTATTTTTGTCGTCTTTTTAAATAGAGCCATACTCTCAATCCATTATACAAAAGAATTTAATAAGACTTCTCTTATATTAAACTACTAAAATAATAATTTAAAACTATTTCCTGGAAGAGGAAAAACTTTGTTTATAGAAACAGTTGGCGCACCAACCTTCATGGCCTGGTAGAACTGCTCAGGTGAGGTCAGTATTTTGACGTTGCTTCCTGGAACTCGGAAGGCTGGTACTTGCTCCGCCATCCACCGGAAGTGGGCGCAGAGGCCATCTGTGCCTTGAGCTCCGGCTGACCCGGTGGGCCTGGAGATGCGGCGAGGAGCTGGGTCGGTTTCAACAAGCAGAGGAGCCAGCAGCAGCACGGAGGACCTGCAGGAGACACAAACATCTGAAACTGACCAAAAAATGTAAGCGTTCAAAGACTCATAAAAACAAAATAAAAAGAAATATGAAACATATTAACAAAACACTATCTGAACATCAGACTTCACACATTGGTACATACATATAACATTACACCTCCCTGTAAATATAATTAAACCCATCGCCATTAACACAGTTAATAGTCAGAATTAGGGCTGTGCATAAAATTCATATCACGATATGTATTGTGAAGGGTGGCGATAATGATATATATCACGATATACTGTATATCACGATATGTTTTTGGTATAAAACTTGCAATAGGAATGGAAAAAAAAGCATGGGGTATCCATTTGCCATCATTTATTTTGAAAACTGCTATACCACAAAATAATCTCATTAAGAAAATTCACTACAAGGTCCAGAGAGTTTTTAAATAATTAATAAATCAAGTATGAGGCTACTTTCTTGTAGTGCAAAACAGTGCAAACGAGATCAAATGTAGTTTTAGCCATATGTTTTAAACAAAAATATGTTGTTAACTCTTAACAGTTTCCAGTCTTCTCACTTAAGAAATGAACAGCAACAGAGCAGCATTTTACACTGAAACACTTCACCCTCCAACCCTCTAGTGGGCGTCTCCTTCCGCTTTAAGGAGAGCTGACACAAAATGGCGGCCAGTTTCCTCTGTGGCTTTGACCAGAGAGTCTCGCAGTAAAATCACACAACACAACGTTCTTTTCACAGATCAGAGAACAGGTTTCCCTAAAGCTGACCAACGCTTATTTTAACTTTCGACAGGAAAAAAAAAACACTTTGACGGAACACAGCGTTCTGCGCATGCGTCCAAATACGGCAACACTACGGCAAACTGTTAGCTTGTAGCTTCGCTACTTAGCTCTTGAAGAAAAGACTTTAAAACCACTTAAGCACAGTTTTCAATTAAAAAAAAGTAATTAAATCTGACAACTCTGATTTTACATCAGACACAGCATTACTGCGGTTAGCCAGTAGAAGACAGATCTCTATCATAAGCTAAATGTCTATCGTTTCTACCGTGTACAGTACATATTGCACATTCCTAGTCAGAATATTACATTTTAGGGATGCACGATATTATCGGCACGGTATCGGCCGATATTAGCAATAAAGTTAAATATCGGACATTGGCCATTCCATCAAAATAACTCGCCAATATAAAAGGAACAGTTTTTTTATAAAGATATATTATACATTCAATCATTTTCAGGCCCCTTTTTGGCATCTGCATTTGGTAGCAGGTCAAATTGACAAAGACCATGCAGAATAATGTAGAATTTTAATTCCACAGCAGAGAAAGCTCTGTAAGTAGGCCTAGGGGAAAAAATATTGGTATCGGCCAAATAAGTTTTAACATATCGGCATATCGGATATCAACCAAAAATCCAATATCGTACATCCCTATTAAATTTAAACACATTTTTGTTCCATGGTTTTTGGCACAACTTGAGACTTGCATTTGTTTATTTTACTGATTTTATTATTCTCGCTGATCTTATTGTTTTAACAGTATATATTATAAATGTTCCAGCTATTTCATGTACTGCACTCTGTTGGAGCTGTGGTAGTTTTTAATAGTAAAGTGGAGACTAACGGCTAATTCAAGCTCGACCGTCTGAGCCTGGGTGACATAAATTTTATCAGCCTGTCTTGAGAGGATTTACCAGATCCCACCACAGCTGACCTTCGACAACTTAGGCTTTTGTGATCAATGTGTGCAGATATTCAGTGATAAAACTTCCACTCAGAAAGTGACACCAATGACACAACAAAGACGAGTATAGCCAAAAGAAAAACGCATTTTTAGCCATTCATATTTCAGCATTACTCAACAAAAACACAAATATATGTTCAACTCTTAACGAGAAATCGTCCATAGCTCTTTTTTTATTAGATAAATGCAAAACCAGCACACCATTGCCACCTGTTGGACTGGAGGGAAACCCTGCTCCTTAAGGGGATAGCCTGGTGATTTTTAAAGTGGTACTCTGTCAAAGTTATTAGTAGTAGGTACCTGATCAGACACAACGTCAGTAGTGAGCACATAGAGGAAAAGAGCAGACATATTTTCCCAGACTAGGCTAAAGGCTGACCATATGAGGGGTTGTTTAAAATAATTTTTTAGTCTTATAAAACAACTCTCACAAAAATAGCATGCAGACATCCGTGTAGTCCGCAGTGCTATGTGAATATGGAGGGCAAAAATAGCCTGTGTATACGCGATGTGACAGATTGTGTGTACACAACTGTTTGTTAGCTAAGAAAACGGTGTAGAAACAGAGTGTTCAAATGAGGACAAAAGCAACACCATGTCATGTAAAAATGTAGAGTTTTAAAATGACCCCTCTTTTGGAAAGCCATTATCCTAGCCTGGACAAAGGCTTCTCCCCTTTTCTCCATACTCCAGCTCTGCAACTGATGTAACAGCTGATTAAGCACAAACTATTAACTATCTGATCTGAAGTCTAGGACTCTCTGGCCCTTCAAAATGCAGTTTATTTTATCAAGTAGTTTTAAGCTCTTGTTGCGATATACTTGAGTATTTCAACGTACAGTCAGTGCCGGTAGTGTCAGCCACATCAAATTCCTTGGAATACTTTGACCTCCGCTGTCAACACAGCAGCTATTGTCAAAAAGGCCCAACAGAGGCTTAACCCCCTGCGGCACCTGAAAAGGGGCAGGACTACTCACATCCCCATCTCATGACTTTTTTTACAGAGAAACTGCGGACTCTGCTGACATACACCCTCACCGCTTGGTTCAGTAGCAGTGTTGCCAAGTCCGCTTATTATAGCGACTTTAGGCTTGTTTTTTTTCTTAAGTCGCTTGCAAATCTTGTGAGTCGTCGTTTTCTGGGCTTGTTTTTAAACGTGAAGTTGTTTATTTGGGCGGTAGTAGGTAGTTTGTCCCTTCCAAGCCCCCGTTTCCTGCTTATCGCTCCCGACCAAGTTGGCGAGGCGACAGGCGCACACCCAAACAAATGCTCACACTGTGGCCGACCACTAGGGGGCTCTACTCACACGCAGATGTCAGGATGTTTTGTTTTTAAAAATATGTAGAAAAAATATGATTTACATATTTGTTACATATGTGAAATGTTTGTTTTATTAATCAGAGCATAAAAGTGTGTTATTCAAAGTGTTTAGCATGATTTATGTTTATACTGTTTATAAACGGCCACTGTTCTACACAATGTGGTGGGTTGCCAGTTGGGCTTGTTTTCATAGAGCTGGTTGCTTGTTTCTATCGCGAGATCTGGCAACACTGTTCAGTAGTTGCAAAGCCCTGGAGAAACAACAGCTGAGCAGGAATGTAAAAACAGCAAGCAGAACAATTGGCGCCTCTCACCCTCACTGTTGGAGATTTTCAACCATGTGTTCGCAGGGCCAACAATATTTTAAAGGACCCTCACCACCCTGCCAACGTTCATGCTCCTGCAATCTGGGAAAAGGTATCAAAGCCTTTGCTCCAGATCCAGCAAGACGAGCAATGGTTTCCTTTGAACTCCAGTCGGGTCATCAATAGTTCAGTTTAATGGTTTACCATTGTGGTGATGCTCAGTTTTATGTGTGTGCTTTACAAGTTTTTTTATTTTTTACTTGATCTTTTATATAATTTGCCCTTGATTTTATTGTCTTCTAGTATATTTTAATAGGTACTGTTGCAAACTGAGCAAACAGTGTTTCATTGTAAATGTATACTGTACAGACAAATTACAAACCGTTTAAAAAACAAAACGAGCATCACAAATGTTATGTTTAATTTGGTGTATTATGGTATAATATGCTTAGGATTATTGTCTTTTTTTAACAAGCATTAAACAACTGTGCTCAAGTCTGTTGCAAACTTGATAATAACTAGTATAATGTAACAAATATAGAGTATGTTGCAGTAGAATAGTTTAATCTCTACTCTTTCTTCAAACTGAGGGTCCAAGAGAGGGTCGAGGTGTTACATTAGGAAATAGAAGTGAGCCAAATACTTAGGACTCAAAGGTTTTGTGCACACAAATACAGAAGCAATGTCAAAGCAATAAATCATAAAGAGGATGATTTTTTTTTTATGTGCAAATCAGATGCAGTAGTCCCTCGCTACTTTGCGATTCGACTTTCGCGGACTAACTATCGCAGTTTGTGGACATACAGTACTGTACATATTTTCCCAAAAAAATAAAATAAAATAAATGCGCTGCTATTATTTTGTAGTTTTCTTTCATTAAGCCTACACTGTTTTTGCTAGTCTACAGAACTACATTACCCAGAAGCCACCAGTTCACTCCCCAGAAGGCAACACTGCTTCCAACTGCTGCTTTTCTGAAAGTTTTGCAGCAAAGTCAGAAGTTCTGTAAGGATACGCTCACAGAACTGGAAGGAAAGTTGTAAATACTTCTGAAGCTGAACTCATCCTTCAAGTTGTATCTCCACTGCTGAGTAGCTGGGCTGCAGTTGATCTGGACTCAATGAGACCCGGATCCTGGGAGCTGCAAGCGACAGACAGCTGCGGGGTTCAGCCTGGTTCTGGTTGCAAGGTGCTGGTCCAGAGGTGGTGGACTAAACACTGGGCAGGGTGTTCTTCCTGGAGCAGCAGCACTACTGTATTGACTTTAGGGACTTAATGTGTGTGAGGACTTCCCAGTTAGTTGTGATTTGAATGCAATCACAAACATATTTAGTAGATTACTTCAAATCATAAAAAAAACTCTGACAGATAACATCCTTGTGCCAGTGAAGCATAAAACAAATCATCTTGTTTTTACGGCAGCGTAACAGCAGTGAAACAGACATACTCTGATCATAGATCGGGTTATGTAAGAAGAAACAGCTGATCCTCTCCCTGCTTTCCGTAACTTGTGAAAGATAAGGCAGAGTGATGAGAGATAAGCAGCTCACTTTCAAATCTTAACTTTACCGACACAGATAAACGTCTCTGTGAAATGATGTTAAACTGGATTTTTAAATCTTATACAA